TGTGGTTACCAATTACAATTTCTATGGCATCCTGGGGTTCTCTTGGAGCTCTCCCATCCCAGTTTGATCTTGCTTAATTTGTTACACCAGATCTCATCCCTGGTTGGCTTAATGGATGCAGTGTAGAGAGGGGGATAAAAATACATCCAAATCCATAGTGGTAGGTAACAGCAGTCTCAGATGTCAAGGGACAGTGAGAACATCAACAACATCCTAAGACAAAAAGGGACTTAAAAAAAGTGAGAAATACTGCTATCCAGAAAAAGGTATTAAAAATGAAGCATCTGTGCTCTGAGTCATTATAGGCCCTTGACAGATGTGATCTTACCAGCCTCCCACTGTAGCTGCAAATAAAGACCCCTTCTCTTTCTTCTCTCCCGACAAGGATTAATGAGTACTTGGGATAGCTCTCAGACAAGCAAGCAAAGGCTGTGAACCTTTTCCAACACTGCAATTTATCTTGGGAAGACTATTCACATCACTTTTCCCTCCCTCCCCAGGCTGGATTATGCTCTGACCTAACACATTAATCTCCCAAAATAAAATAATAATAATAGAAGAAGGAAAAAAAGAGCTGGACAATTGCCAGAAATAAATTAATAACCATCTCGAATAGCCCTGCTGTGCAGGAGCAAACTGCTCAACTCCCCTGCCACCCATGCCATTTGTAAGCAAAACTATTCCCAGTTTAGATATCCTCTTAAGTGCCCTGCCTGAGACTTTCAGCGATTAATGATAATATTGTACATCTATATAGTGCCTTTCACCCCAACAGCTGCCAGAAAGTTTCTTTACCAAATGCAAATAATACACATTGCTACATGTGCCACTGAAATGTAGACACTACTAAGTGGAGGAAGGGGCAGCATGACAGATCTGTAAGAGTAAAAAAATCATGAAAAGGTATTTCAAGAGAGAGAATGTAGCGAGAAAGTTTCAAAAGTTAGGCCTTGTGTACACATGATTTTAAAAACATTAAAGTATGTTAACCATTTAGTTAAAATATTTCTTTGCCCATGGTTAGAACTGGCGCTGTCTTTTGTGGCATGAGTAGCTTCAGTTTAATACTGTTACTTCTTTGACCCAAGTGGAAAGCCAAAGAGACAAGTACTTGCAATTTCTTTCCATTAAATGAAGAGATTTGTGCTTCAGAAATATCTATTTACAGAGATTACTCTGAAAACAAGACTTAGAACAAAGTCAACCAGAAAATCAGTTATGTTGCTGCTAGTACCTCTTCCTTCTCAAGCAATGCTTACCTCTCTCCCTCTCTGGACTTTAATTACTTGCTGGCATTACCAAACCCTTGCTCAGGTCTGCAATGGCTCAAAATCCAAAACTCACTACCCAGGTGACTTTCTGCCAAAGTTTTATCAGAGATTTCATTATTTTTATTCTTCCACACATTTCATGCTGTAAACATGTTGTAAAGGTATCAGATTATCAAAGACAAACATCCATATAGCAAGAAGAAAAGAGACTCTAACCTTTGACTTGACAGCTAGGATGATCTTAGGCAGGGCAACAATTAGGCATTTCAATGCGATGGTGAGGTACTTCAGTACAAAGTCTGCTATTCCCACAATCCACATCAGGTCGAAGAAGTCCAGCCTCTCAAGGTTGGGTTTCAGAAATATAAGGCTGAAAGGCATGACAACAAGGCTCAAATACCAATGAGGAGAACCTCACTTAAGCTTCTTGATACCAGCTGTATCCACCGCTGGCCAGAGAAAGCCTAGAAACTCCACTGAACTTCAGTGAAGTTCTCAAGGGCAATAGGAATAAGACATGCAAATTAGTCCCATGGTTCCTCTGGGCTTCTTGACTTTGTCCATTCTTGCCCATTTCTACTGAGGTCAGCAGGTTTGCCCACTATCAGAAAACAGGACCTGAATATGTACAAAATCTGTTTTGGAAGATTGCAATCTCCATAACCTGCAATCCACGCTGTAAAAGAGCCTTTGGTCTAAGGACAGTGCCTTTAGTCCACAGGCTTGCTCTGTCAGATCTGACTGTAAAAGCTTATCCTTTGAAGTGCAAGTCATCAGTAGTTATGATTCCTTGGGGAAGTCATGGCCAAGTCAAGACCACTGTGTCTTGCTCCTCTGAGGCTGGCTTGCCACAGGTAGAACTACTGCAGGGGCAGCAGTCTCTAAAGCTACTTGTGCATGTGAAACAAACTGGTGACAAAGGAAGCACTATATTAGACATGGCAGAAAGGTCAGAACTTCAGGTGTGTCATGCTCTGACCGTGGCTTGCCGCTGTTTGAAGCGGACCAAGAGCTGGGCTGTGTTAATCAGCAACTCTTACCTGAACCAAAGATCCAAAAAGGTAGTGCCCCTTACATAATGTTATTGACTGGGCTGAACACTTGCTCTTTAAAGAAGGGGGGTTCAGGACAGCAGAACTTCACATAGCAATGGGCAGGAGCTACTGACCTAAGCAGCAATGAGGACTGGACCCTACTCACACTGAAAAAACCAGGATTCCTCTTCAGGATATTTACCTATTAAAGCCTCATGGTAGAAAGCAAAAACTTAACATAAAAAAAACGCAAAAGTAAAATAACCAACCCAGAATGAAAAGCCTGAACGTGAATTTAAAATACTCACAACATTGGCACAGCACAACAGGTAAAAATACACCCTAAAAACAGAAACAGAATCAGAGACTTTACTACTATTCATGCACTAGAAACAAGCAAAAAGTAAATAAATCAGGAAATGAAAATAAGCCAGAAAGGAACAAAACAGAAACAGCTATTTCTAATTTCACAGGCCTGCCTCGTGAATAGTCACAGGTCCCCACACAGGAAGCAATAGATACAGTAGCCCAAGCATGATGCAGCAAGCACCACCACAACACTCGCAGGACTAGGGCTTTTCAGTGAAGCTGTTGCCCAGTCTGTTCACTGTTAATAAATCACGCCCTGAACAGTTGTAGGATGGCCCCAATTTGCTGAAACCCTTTTATTTTAGATGATCTACCCTTTATTTTAAACTAGTCCCATTCATGCTTTTAACCTTAACCTTCTTAGAGACACACTGTTTCCCTATGGTGCAAACAGATTTCTTCTTAATGCTTTCACACCTTTACGCCATACCTGTTTCTTCTCTTCCACTCCCTCCCACAAGCCCTATATAGAGTATCCCATGGCTTGCCATCTCTCAGTTGGACCCCCCCCCACAAGTCTTCTCATCTCTCCCCCTTTCTAGAAGCATTTACATAGACAGCTTTCCAATGATCAAACCCAAATACATTAGGGGCAATTCCAAAGGATAGCAGGGTTGTGGGCAGACCTTGACTCTTCCACTGCATAGACAGTATTGGTGGGAAGAGGCAGGGAAGCAATGAAATAAATGACAGAAAAAACATACCCAAGAGCTATCTAGCCATTACCCAACTGATGCGTGTTACACACATTGTATTTTCAGTCTGAAGTTCTAAGTCCCCTTCAGTGGGACAAATAAAATTTTCATTGGGAAGATAATTCATACGGTTTTAGCTACTAATATCAAAACTACTTTCTCAAGTAACTAGGTTCCATATTGCTCCGTTTCTTCCTACTTACTCTACTAACACCCCCTTACTTAAGTTCTGTATATTTGCTTCCTGTCATTTAATCCCTGCTTTATAATAAGCAGGGATAGTACTGAGCCAAATCCATGGGTACTAACTGTTCTGTATTTGAGAACCACTTTAGTCAGAATTTGAAAGTGGAGGCTATCTTAATTACCCCAGACCCAAATGCCTCCAAGCCCTGAGGACACTGAAGTAAAACACTACTATTTAATCTCCAGTTTATCTCCTGTAATAGACTCAAAGCTTGATAGACTGAAGAGAACAGAAAACATTACAGGAAGAGGAAAATCAGTGGGTCAATTTCTTATCTGCTTCCAACACCTGCTCTTTATGTTCAGTCACAGTAGTCAAAATGGAAATTCGCAAGTCTCACTATAAAAAAGTATCCACCCTGCTTCGATACCTAAGAAAATTGCAAGTGTACACGTTTCAAGCAGCAACGCTGTAGTCTATCATCACACCCTGGCCCACTTAGACCCTGGTTATGTCATTTATTGGTAGGAGCATAGTCCATTGGCAGAAACAATGCACACATTCTTTTCCTCCATTGAAAGGTATTACAAAGATGTAACAAAGACAGCAGATACCTTAAGTATGCACACTTCCTCCCAAAGTGTGGGGAAAAGTGGGCTTCCCTCTTTCCTCCCTGGCAATTATCACCTGCTTCCATCATGTACAATGTAAATTTTGCCCACCTGTTGTACAGCTGCTGAGAGCTGAATGTGTAAAGCAAGTACAAGGTGTTTCCAGTGAGAAAGGCCAGGATCCAGAAGACAACCAACACTGATCTCTTCTCCTGAGCAAGAAAAAGAAGCAGAGAAGATAAATTCAAAGTCTCAAGGGTTGCACTGAGCCTTCGACTGCTGAAAAATGCAAGACTAACCCAGGGGACACAAATATGCAACTAAGTGTTCAGTAATTAGTTTATTTACATAGGACTAAGACTCAGAAGTAGGCTGCTAGGTAAAGACATATATAAACACAAGCAGAAATGGCTCTCACTCACTTAACCTTTTCAAATAAAGCAACTTCAGAGAAATTAATGGAAATACACTGGTGAAAATGACAGCCTTACTTGCAGAACACAATTTTCAAAGTTGGGATCTTTCTTGGGACATCTAAATTCTCCCGATATATAAAATGCCTTTCGACAAGCAGGTTAAAAAAACCAGTCAGTTCCATATATTGTACTATAATTCTGAGCTGCCACCTGTCTGGAATGACACTTCATGAAAGGGGTGTTTTACAAATAGATCCAGTCACAAGAAGGCTTAGCTAAATCAAACGCAACATAACCCATCACTACATGCAGCAGATATGAATGTTATCTGAATGCAGGGAGGTTCTAGAACACGCATTTTTGATTGAAGACATAATTAAAGGTCAAAAGAAGTACAAATTTTGCATTTCAGAAGACAAGGAACGTTATAGACAGAAGCTGGATGGCAGAAGACCTTGTCCTGGGTCTTGGCCCAGTGTAATTTTGGAGAGTAAATTTTACTCCTGGGAGGAAAAAAAACCCAGCATTTTTCTTGTGAGCTGATTTATTAAAAAAATAGCTCTTTACAGCTATTCAACAGCCAGGGACGTTAGGTTGAGATTTAAAGCAGGCGGATTAATGGGCACACTGCTGGAAAGACAGAGGTGCAAAGTGCAAGGCAACAGCAATTTATTACAGGATTGTGCAATTTATCTGTTCGTTCAGCATTGTATCACATTTATTCCACTGCTGCTGGTAGATCTAAGTATACACTTGTGCCACCCATGTAATTTTTACAAAAAAGAAATTCTAGTCTTGTGCTTTTAGTGCTGTTGAAGAATTCTGCTGACACTGAAGATCATAAGACCTGAAAAGATCTGCTGGTTTCTTTATATTCTAAGTATATTATCAACAGAGCATTATAAAGATACCAACAAGCAATACATCTACAAAATCCTTCAGCTGAACATCTCAAAACATTATCTAAATGCTAATAAATTAAATCTCACCATTAACTAGTGAAATAGGTTTCAGCACCTCTGCTGTACATAATGGGGAAAGGCGCAGAGAAGTGCTTGAAGATGCACTGCCAGTCAGTGGCAGAACGAGAAGCAGATTACAATATCCCTGACTTCTCCTCTCTTCGTTTTACTATGCCACACTTTCACAAAAGAGCAGGATGGGAACTGTGGGAGAGCATCAATGGGAAGAAGTAGGAAGAGGAAGTGAGGATTACAGCACGATACTCTTATTCTGACAGATCTGTATCCATATAACAGCATTCACCCCTACACTGCAAAAGAAGGTTCAACAGACATTGTTTTGTATACAAAGAGCAATGTTGCTTGGAAACGTAAGAGTAAGATGCTGTACTCACCTTCAGAGCAACCTGTTCTCGGAGTGTTGAGTTAGCATATGCGAATGTGCTGGCCATACCAATGCACACAGCAATCCCTGCAGAGAAAGACACTGTCAAAGTATATAAGGCTGGGTAGGAGGATCTTCAGTCCTAAGCCATTTGATGTCAGCATCTCAAGCTTAGAAAAAAATTTAGTGGGTGATATTCTGGATGCACTGGGAATTAAAATATATAGGTGACTAAAACCGGGCAGTCTGGACTCGTATAAAGTTCAAATTCAAGCTAAATGAAAATGAAGCTACTGCAGTGAGCACTTGCCACCCAGCCCAATACAATGTCCTTGCGTCAGGTTCTGTGCTGAAGGAGAACAGAAGTGCTGCAAGTTGTGGCTGCATTGTGCAAACAGAACTCAGATAGGTGACAGTATTACAATAGCAGTTCAGCAGCTCATGGAGGACAGGGCACACTATCAAAACCATACAGGATACCACCTCCAAAAAGCAAGATGTTGCAGATATGAATCAATACCTGTTTTGGGGAATACTGCCAGAGCTGTAAATGGACTAAACTCAAGCATTATTGGCTTCCCTGGGATAATAATCTCAGCATACTAGTCCCAGAATGAGTAAGGATCCACATACAGTTTTATAGTAAGAGGAGGATTAGATGAATAGATTTTACGTGACCACTGAGGGGCTGAAAAACTCAGGTACCATTAAAGAAATCTGGATAGACATATTTTTTAGGGAACTCTGAAGATAGGACTGCAATGTGTAACTGCTGATGCTGTTTGGCTTGATTTCACAGCTACCATCCTTCTAGCTATACAACTGTCTCATCCCTCTGAGCCTCTCTGTGCTACACAGAGGCCTTTGCTAATCACTAATGTAAGCTCTCCCCATCTCTCCTAGAGAGAGGTCTGAGGGAGAAGCCTTGGTAACATCCTTAGCCCCTACAGGAATGTCAAGGAGAGATTAGGAAAAGGTACAGAACTGATCTCCCACAGGTCAGGACAGGAAACAGATGGGACTGACACAGATGAAAACTGCTTGGACTGAAAGTAGGATGAATTTATCAAATGCATTATCCCATGCATTTGAATACGTCCCCTTCGTGCTAGACTGCCTCTGGACACCGTCATGTGGATAAATGTATCAGACACCACAGCATGATAAAGCTTCCTAACCGCCCTCTAATACACTTACAATCCAAAAAGGATAGATGCTTACCAAGCTTATGCTGGAAACAAACTTTAGCCAGAAGGATCAAGATGAAGGGAAGTCCCTTCTGCAGCCAACTGATCACAGCTTTTAACTCTGAAAGAGCTGGGGCTGGAGTTCCAGCTTGTTCGTCACTGCCTTCCTCAGCATGCCCGTGGCGGTCCCCTCCTGCTATGTGCAGTAGAGATGAACCCCGGTGATGGCCATGGTGGAAATGATGGGACGATTGCCGGTGGTGAAATGGGGCTCCTTCCGTACGACTGGTCCCTTCCTCCCTTGGGGCTGGCATCTGAATGAATACTTCCCCACCTCCCTGCTGAAGAGCCCAGAACCAGACCTGACTGGAATGGCGTGGCTGTGATGGTGCCCGACGGGATACCTGCCAGGCCTGAGAACAGCTGTTGTGGTGAGGAAGCTTCAGCCTTCAGACTTTCAAAAACTCCACTTTCATCCACGCTGGTTTCAGAACTGACTGTTTGGCTCCGGTTTCTGCAGTGGACAGAGATTAGAGAAAAGTGATTAAACAAAAACGAGTGCCACAGAACTTCTCAGTCCTTTAGCCCAATCCTGTCTGTAGTCATTTAAGAGTTCCTCACACACTATCAGAATACGTAGGTCTCCAGATGACAGATGTTTTTCACTCTATTTGCTGTTGGAAAGTCACAGTTGCAGAACTAGACGCCAGTAATCAGACTCCTAAGATAAGATCAGAGTAATTCTAAAGAACTGATCAAAATGCACCAGTTCCTTCATCTAAGGAACAGAGTTCCCAAACACCCCCTTTACTTTTGGAGAAACCAAAGAAATAACCCATCCAATACCAAATTCAACATCTTCTATAATGATTTTAATATTTAAAGAAAAACATACAAAAAACCATGTAACTTTACACAGTGCAACCAAGACAGGTCACATTATATACAACCAAATTAATCAAGCTAACTCGAAGAAATCACCTACCCCCAAAATCTTCTGTCTTTATTTAGGGATGATCGCTACTTGCCTACTGATGAATAACACAAACAAGAGACAGAATCAACAGGGGAAGAGAAGCGTTGAGAGCTTCTTGTGTGTCCCTGACCCAACAAATATTATAAGTGAAGGATGTGCTCGTGGGTCAAGAGAAATTGTTTTATTTTGATATTCTTGGCAAATTGGACATGGGTGTACCCAAATTACTGGGCACTGGCCATAATTACATCTGGCACTGATTCTTTCCTGAGCTTGTTGGATTATAGCCAGATTCCAAAAAGAAAGTCTTATATATCTTCATCCTAATACCAAAAGAAAATATGCTTTCTTCGCCTGAACTCAGTACCGTGGTACTGAAATGAATACATGTAAAGTTTAGATGACAGGGAACAATACAGGTAACAAGTAGAACAATCATGAGGCAGTAAATGCTTGGCAGACAGCAAATACCTCTCTAACTTGCAAAAGGAGAGTAAAGAATAAATAAAGCTCAGCAAGAGGCAAAGCCCACAAATAAGGCATGTTACAGAGTCTCTCTCCATTTTAATCCTTGGAGATCTCTAACTTTAGAAATAGTGGTCACAAGCTGAGACAGCACATGCAGGCACATACAGGGCCCTTAACCCTCTCTCTCCCATGGGTTCAAAAGCCTCCCCAGGCATCTTACAGGGCACAGAGCACTGCCTTTCATCTCACTCTGGAGATAGCTTCAAATCTCTCAGGGCATACCTTCCCACTAAGTAAACTCCTAATAAGGCTTTTTATAGCTACGCCCCATTCCCAATGTCTCTCCACAGGCTCCAGCAAGGAATCAAGTCAACAAGATATTGCACACCTCTTCTTGGTTCAAAATATTCATCAACCAGATCTTGGATTTTACACCTAACATTACAATTCAGGGATGTATACACAAGACAGGGACATAATGTGACAGTACTTCTGTCTGGAACATAACAAACAAATTGGGTGGAACCCAGTGTTACAGATAAAGACACAAGTATTGTTTGGAACAATACTACCAGGATACATGACTGCTTTCATTTTTTAATCAGTGACATATTTTAAAACATATAAACAAGGATGGAATTGTGAGTCTGCTGAAGTTAACAGAAGTGAAGACCAGCGGCAACAGCATTTCATTCTACAGTTAGAAAACCTTCAGCCTGTTACTGACAATATGTATTTACCCTGTTAAAAAACAGAAGCATTTATAAAAACCAATTGACATTACTCTGCTTATCTTTTACAGTCAATAATAGACACCTATTCTGAATATATTTTAACCACTCAAACAGATCCCAAAGTGCCTTACAAGTTTGTACAGACTCAAGAGAGCTCTACATTGCAGATGAGAGGATCCATACAACACCCTACGTGCCTCTCAAGCCCCAGGCTTGCCTGCTGATATAAAACGCACAGACTGCACTGAGGCTTGGGCAGCATCATGCAGAAAAAGTTGAAGATGGCTTTTTTTTCCCCTGAAATTAAGAATGGTACCATGCTAGTAGTGGTCATGACACCAAGCTTCACCACTATCTGCAAATCCACTAAGAAATAACTTAGTGACTGCTTGTGATCACGATCTTTCACTTACAATCTCAGCTCAGCCAGAGCAATGAAATTTGTTAGTTCCATCTTTGTCTTAGAGTAATTAGATTAGTTTCTTCTTTAGAAAAAAAAAAAAAAAGAGTCAAGCTCTAACCCTGGGAAAGCACAAGGGAATATTTAGTACCAGAACAACAACAGTGGCAAGCATCCCTTGCTGATGTTATAATTACAGAAGTGAATTAGAGGCATTCTACTTCTAAATATTCACATACATGAAGCTAGATACAGATTCTGGGATGCTGTAAAGGATCATCCAAAACCTTTATGAAATACTAAGTCATAGTAGTTGGGAGCTTCAGACCAGCAGACTTTAAAACATCTTAATAACAAGTATAAATAGCCTCTGTTCATACAGACTGATCCTTTCAGATTGATAGTACTCAGGATCCCCACAGGACTGTGCCATGAGTCGCTCTTCTGGAGCTCCAAAACGTCCTGCCTGTGCTAAGCCAACTGTCTGCAGATGTGCCATACTGGATCACGAAACCTGAAACACTGTAGTTGGTAGCAGTCAATAACTGACATGAAAGAGTAAATCTGTCTCTAAACTCTCTAAACTCGAGCAGAAAGCCTGGCCACACTACAGGCACAGGAAGTATATGCCTTTCTCACTTTTGACCTTTCATCTTCTAAAACACACCATACACTTAAATCAGAACATTCCCCTCTGGAGAGAAAAATGGAGGAAAAAAGAAGGAAAAAGATTTACCTTTCAGGAGGAACGTTGTCAGTGTTGCTGCTATGCCGTCTCTGCATTTTCCTCAAAACCTTAAAACACAACACGCTCAACATTAACGTTGCAGGTCAACAATTCCCAGTGTGACTACTAACAAAGGCCCACAGAGTCAGAGGGTTGTGAAACCCATTCAGCTAGTGACATGGCTGGCATAAATCATTTGCTTCTCTGAAAGAGCACCTCAAGCTTGCATTTGTTTCTTCGTACACTTGCGAAGAAACAACTTTCAACTGGCAAATGGAAGCACACATACACAGGTCTCCAAGCAGGGCAGGAATTAGTCAGATCCCCTTTTGCAGCATGTGGCAGTCACAAGGAGTGTACAGCTGTGTGAGGACATGTTCTGATAAAGAACTTGAGGACAACTAACAGAGTGGCTCTCGATGTGACATGTGAATCAACATACACTTTCTGGAAATGAAATCCCTTCTTCTTCTTCTGAAGAAACTTGCTTTGTAAAGCAAAACTGAGAGGGAGGAAAAAAAGAAAATGTATAAACATTTTTAATGAAAAAATACGATCAGGTCATCACAGTATTCTTTTAAATATGCAACCCATTCCTTTTAAACCACAAAAATGCCATTAGCAAACTCTGCACAATGGTCATAAATAATATGCACATATGCAAAAGATCACATATTCCTGCTCCACTCATTCCGGAATTGTCAGCATAAATAAAGTAAGGTCGGGAGGGGAAAATGAAAAGGCATTGAAATTGTATTAACTTCAGGAACTTTTTCTAGAACAAGGAGAGAAGTTCTCTATTTAGTTATTTAAATCTCTGCTTTCAAGTGTCTAATTTTAAGGGAACAACCTCAAACACACTACACTTTTTTAAAATAAAGTTAATTCAAAAGCAAAGAAGAACACAGAATCATCATCATCATCATCATCAAGGCACAGCAGAGTACCTGGCAAACAGTCTTACACTGCTTAATGTTATATTAGTTGTATAAAACCTGGGGAATGGGCTATTTTTGCAAGTGATTTGCAAGTGATTTAGAGAGACGTCCTTTAAATATTGAAGTCTGATCCTACTCAGCCCTAGACTATGATAGCTACTGAATAAAATGTAAAAGGCTCTAAATACTTCTGAATATCAAAAGTTGTAACATTATTTATAACATTTCATACTGCATGAATATATGTAAATAAATGTGTAGCCCCATATCTGTATTCTTAAAGGCACAATGGCTCTGAGAACGTTTCCTAGCTGTCTGTAAGCAGAGGTACGCAAGCTGAGAAGTAGAAAATATGCAATATTTATTTTTTCCCCTATGTTTTCACCTTTTCATTCATATTCTTTACTTTCAGTGACCCAATAGCCTATGCAAAATTGCATTAAATTCAAATTTTATCCCTTAATAAAGCCCAAATCATGCAGTTCACAGTGCAGAAAGAGACAGTTGTGTTTACCACGTACACCTGCAGCAAAAGTACATGTAGTTTGCCCAGCCCTGAAGATAAGTTACAAAACAGTGAAAGAAGAAAGGGTATTTCAGTTAAATCACACAGGTAACTCTACTGAATTTGTAACAAGATGAGAAAAAAAAATGTTAACATTGACAAAAAAGAGAAAGGCTCTTGGTTTGTAACATCCAGTCTTGAAGAACCCCATCAAGTGGGCTGAACTGAGACAACACTGGATTTGAGTCATCACTGACAGAGAACATGGAGGTTTTAATATGAGATGCCAACTTTGGACATCCCCTTGACAGTTTATGTAAATAAAATTTGGCATAATCATATACGGCAGGAAAAACACAGCTTTTAACACATTTTATGGAGAGGATGCAGGAAGCCATCATGAGTACCAGAAATCTAATTCTAACCAAAGTTTTCTGATACCCTAAGTTACCAACACTCTCTTAATTACGAATTTTGATCTTGTAGCTCCCAGCAGTTTTTTAATCTCTAAGCTATACGTTTCAATTTTTGTTGTGTTTTCAGGGCCAAAATTCATTTTATAAGGATCTGTAAGTTTTATACAGTAAAAAATACATATTAAAGTGGTGTTTTCTTCAGATTTTTTGAAGCTGCATTTGTAGTAACAACACTCAGTACTCCAGGAATCTTTTATGCTTTTCCTGCAGTAAATGTTATTTAATCCTAACCTGACAGTATCTCTGTCAACTTAATATGTAATATTATCCTCTTTTTAACCAAAACAGTAATTAAGATATGATGAAAAGGCCAAGACAGGCTGAGCCATGCAGGCAGAGCTGTCCTACCTGTGAACAACTTTGGGGTCACTGCTTATAAAGAAATCCGTCCATCTTCCCACGCTACAAGCTGAGAGCTAGAGTCAGTGTGGAGATAACTCTGAAACTTGGAAGATCCTTCACTCCCTTCTAGACCATTAGAAGTCTACTAGATTGTAATGTGGGGTGAAATCACATTCCAAAATGACATGCAGCTCTATGGGGGGACACTTTTTCTTTTGCCATCAGCCAAGAAGGGCACAGTGACATGAATGCTAAGTACTGAAGATGCAGGACTTCATGAGATGTAATCGTTTGTTCTGCCCAGAGTCCTAGAGATTTAAGATCATTCTATCTGAATTTAAATGGACTTTGTTCCAAAAGGCACTCCGTTTCAATACTGATTGGTCCTGCCTTTTCCGGATTAGGGGTTTTCATCTTGCAACACTTGGACATTTTTTAACAGTACCTGAACAACAGGTTTAACCAGAGGTGCAAGGTGCCACGGTGGAAGAGAGGGAAGCTCAAGAGGGTGCAGACGCATGGAGTCCTTCAGAAAATCCAAGATGGTCCAAATTTCAAACTCATCACAGGTCCTTCAAGCTGGATGATTGTAAGGCACCTGGATCACAGTGCTCAAGCAGGCGCATCTGTAAGAAGCACATGCACAGAGTCATTTTCACCATAGCACAGTGAGTTTGACCTCTCCATCTCCTTGGGAAAGACAGAAAGGAGCAGGAACCCTTGCTGCTTCAACCCCTGCATGTGTGCATGGTCCAACAAGGCCGTTTTCCTCTGGGATTGGCACCTGCAGCCCTGCTCACTGCACAGGCACTCCCTGGGCACCTGCTGGGCTGTACTCTGCCTTCGTTGTGTATACACACACACACACACATGTGCATACACGTGCACACACACGTGTGTGTGTAATAAATAAATATATACATAAATGCATTTATATATACACGCACATATATACAACTATATATCTATAAATACAGTTATATACATACACACATATATATGTATACACACAGAGAGACATAGGTGAGGCCTTTTTTTTCCAGTTAGGTCGGGGAAGGAGATTCCCGCTGGAGATGTGGCTAGATGCCCCAGCGGGGGCGGGAGCAAGCCGGGTCGAGGGAGCAGCAAG